TCTCTCTCTCTCTCTCTCTCTCTCTCTCTCTCTCTCCCGCTCTCTCTCTCTAGCGTTTATCCCTTGGATTGGATGCTCCGCAACGAACGACCGGACAGAGCTTGTTGTTGTTGTTGATTGTTAATTGTCCGTCTTTTCCGTGGAGGCAGATCGGCCGACCGGTAGCAATCCCTGCCTGCCGTAACGCCCTTGTATGCTCTCTTCTCGTTGATTGTCGTTCGCGGTTGTTGTTTCTTTCTTTCTGTCTTGTCTGTCTGTCTGTCTGTCTGTCTGTCTGTCTGTCTGTCTGTCTGTCTGTCTGACCGTCTGTCTGACTGACCGTCTGTCTGTCTGTCTGTCTGTCTGTCTGTCTGTCTGTCCGTCCGTCCCCACAGATCGGGCGGCCTGTCACCAACGCCTGCCTGGAGGGCTTCAATGGCACCATCTTCTGCTACGGGCAGACGGGCTCCGGAAAAACCTTCACAACCTTTGGTCCCCCGGACGACGTCGTCAATGGTATCAGCGGCGGCGGCGACGGAAGCAGCAGCAGCAGCAGAAGCAGAAGCGGAAGCCCCGGCGAGAGGGGGCTACGCGAATCATTCGAGTCTCATTCTCCGGGGGGGGAGGGGGTCGACAGGAGTGGTAGTAGTAGAACGTCCCCAGGAGGAGATAAAAACGGAGCGTCCCCGGATAGAAACGGAGCGTCCCCGGGAGGGGACGGGGATGGGCCGTCCCCCGAGGGCAAGACGACGAAGAGGAAGCAGAAGCAGCAGCAGCAGCAGCAGCAGCAGCGGGTGGTGGCGGAGGCGGAGGGGGCGCGCGCTCTGGCGACGGGGGAAAACCGGGGTTTAGTTCCCAGAGTGCTGGAGTACCTCTTCGATCGGTTTTCGGCTTCGGACGCGGGGCATCCCTCCTCGCAGCAGGTGATGTGGATGGTTTACTTGCCGTTTGCATAGGTGTTTACATTCGAACGTACAAGGCACGCGTTCGGAATTGTAGAATTAAAGTCGTGAAGCAAGATGGAAGTAAAGCTGCCAGCTGGAATCGGTGACGTTTCTCCCAAGCTCGGAACAGCTCACACACAGCTGACGTGTTTTTTTTTGTCGAAGAGCCCAGCGAACCTCAAAGACCCAACTATAACAGTAGTAATATCTGTATGGTCTTACAACACAAAGACATACCTCCCCGCTAGAGACACACCGTATATGACACAAGATAACACACCCCCTGGACCGACTTTCAGAGCTCGAATAACGTATTTGACACGAGATAACACACCCCCTAGACCGACTTTCAGAGCTCGAATAACGTATATGACACAAGATAACACACCCCTTGGACCGACTTTCAGGGCTCGAATAACGTATATGACACAAGATAACACACCCCCTGGACCGATTTTCAGAGCTCGAATAACGTATATGACACAAGATAACACACCCCCTGGTCCGATTTTCAAAGCGCCATTTGTCAACCGCAGAAAGAGTCGCAGCGCCGAAAACGGCGGCGTTGAAGCCGCGTCGTCGAGAGCTTTCCGAAAAAGTATCGTTTTGCTCATGCATCCTCTTGGTCGGGGGGTAATCGAGCTTTCAAAATCGACCCAGGGTGTGTTTTATTGTGTCGTAGGGTTAGGCACAGCAGTCGATGGAGATCGGTTGAAGTCTTCTCGTGAGTGCAGGAGGTAGTGATTGCAACACACACACACACAGGAGCCTTCGCAGGTTTTTTCGATTTAATAACCATGTTGGATAAAGCATACAATCGGGGAAGTTGGGTTAGGGTTATGGAATAGAGTCTGCGTCCCCACTCCCTGTTCTACTTCGCATGTACTTGTTAATCTCGCGAAGCTTGCGAAGATTCGCGGTCCCTCATACACCCTGGACTGGACCGATGTTTCAAACCCCGCATACAGAGTGAGCTTCGGCAGCGAAGCCAGCAGTAGTGGATGAAATGGCGGAAGCCGTCTCGTCGAGAGCTATCCAAGAACGTTTGTATCACCGCTTTTTTGTGCGTCCTCGTCGTCGTGGAGTGGCCGAGCTCTGAAAGTCGGTCCAGGGGGTGTGTTATCTTGTGTCATATACATTATTCGAGCTCTGAAAGTCGGTCCAAGGGGTGTGTTATCTTGTGTCATATACGTTACTCGAGCTCTGAAAAGTCGGTACAAGGGGTGTGTTATCTTGTGCAACTCAGGCGGGATCGCGTAGGAAGAGTTCGCCGTCTTTCCCACCTGCCATGCTCGACTTGAATTTTCTTCTCGCGAGAAGGGATTGTGTGTACTCACGATGGTTGCGTTCCGTATCCGCCTCTAACAGCTGTCGATGGACAACACCGTGTTGCCTAGCGCCGTTTCTCCCCCCTGCTGTACCCTCATTTCTTTTTTTGTAATCACGATGGTTGCGTTATTTTTTCCGCGGCTATACTCCAACGAGCAAGGGCGAGAGTTCAAATCGCCTACCTCTTGTCAATTCCATTGTTTTTTTCATGGAACGGAACGAATCCATCTCTATCGATAAAAAAAAGTCTTCAGGTAGATGAGCAATTAATCCATAGCGTCAGCGGAAGAATCCATCTCCATCATTAGAAAAGAGTCTTACGATGGATTAGCGATTGATCAGTAGCGTCAGAAGCATCCATCTCTATCAATAGAAAAGAGTCTAAATGGATTAGCAGCTGATCGTAGCGTCAGCGGAGGCTACGTGTGTTTGCATGTCTTCCCGAGCAGCACGGAGCGATAGCTCCCCTGTTTGAAACAGGCTTCTTTGTGTAGTTTTAGTTTTTTTGTTTTTCTCTCACATGCCGTTTCTCCCCCCCTCTCTCGCATTTTTCTTGTGATATTCCTTTGTGTTTTTTGTTTCTTTCAGCCGGGCGGCGAGGGATCGAGACCTCCTGCGCCTTCGGAGATCCACGTCTGTCGGTGCTCCTTCTACGAGATCTACAACGAACAGGTACAACAGCAGTTGTTGTTGTTGTTGTTGTTGTTGTTGTTGTTGTTGTTGTTGTTGTTGTTGTTGTTGTTGTTGTTGTTGTTGTTTTTGTTGCTGTTGCTGTTGCCGCTGCTGCTGCTGTTGTTACTGTTGTCTTCGCGTAAATCGTGCTGGTCTCTGCCCAGTACTGGTGTACCTTTTTTCGTCCGTACCGCCGGCTCCACTGACGCGCATGCCTTTTTCCGTGGTCGCAGGCCATCTACTCCAAAACGGTACAGTACACGCGTGTAGAAGTCATACGGAAAGTAAGAAGTCACTCAGAAAACCCTCGCCCTTGGTTGCAGTTCGGTTATTTGGTACAAGTACACACTCGAAAAGTCATGAGGAAAGCAAAAATGCGATCTGAAAACCTACATAGCACTTGGTTGCAGTTGATCTATTTCGGTACAGTACAAACTTCTAGAAGTCGTAAGGCGAGCAAGAATAGATTCAGAAAATCCTCGCACTTGGTGGCAGTTCGTCTATGTGGTAGCCCTCACCCCGTTGATCACTAAGGCCACGCTGGCATGCAGTACACATGAGCTTCTGTTCTTTGAAATATAATGCTGTGTATCCTATTCTGTTGGTTTGATAAAACAAGAATTCGCGATACATGTACAGATGGTCGCGTGCAGTGCACACAAGCTTCTGTCCCCTTTGATGTACGTTGCACCGTACTCTCTGCTTACCGCTGTTAACGTGATGACAAAGAATTCGCGATGAAATGGATGGATGCATTGCACACTTAGTGCCCTTTGTATATGCATACCGGCATACTACTGCTGTGTTGCGATGCATCTGCCGCTGTTAACGTGATGGCGAAGGTTTACGACTTGACTGTGCCAGACGAGGACAGGGTGCCTCTCAACGTTAGGGAGGCCGCTGACAAGGGTATTTTCCTGGAAGGCTTGTCGGAGGCGGAGGTGAGAGCCGTGTCCCGTCCCTGCCTGTTCATGTTTTTTCTGTTTCTGTTGCTGTTGCTGTTGTTATCCATGCTCATGTTGTTTTTGCTGTTGCTGTTGTTCGTTTTTTTGCTGTTGCCACTGTAGTTGCTGCTGCTGCTGCCGCTGTTGTTTTTCATGTTCATGTTGTTGATTGTTGTTGGGATTGCTGTTGCTGGCTGCTGTTACTGGCTGCTGTTGCTGGCTGCTGTTGCTGCTGTTGCTCACGTTGCGTGGTTTCTGCGTCCTGCTACGGGTCGGTGATCGGTGCGCTGAGGAAATCTTAAATGGTCATTGGTGAGCGCTCCCCTCCCCCCGCGGTTGCCACGACCGAATCCTACACATTGACGACCCCCCTCGCCCCCCCCATTCCGCGGACCCCCCATGTGACGAAAACTCAAGACGCGTGAAGATTCTCCCAAAGAGGTTGCACCTCAAATGATACTCGGTACCTCCCACCCCCCCTTTCACCTTTGCGAAAGTAGGAAGGAACGATTGGCCATCGGTGATCGATCAGTCCTGTGGGAAGAATCATTCTCTGTCCTCTCGAGGACGCGTGGTCAACGGTCTAACCGCTAAGGTGTGCGAAACATTAGAGTACGCCCACCACCACGACCCCCATCCTCGACCAACTCCTAGACCTTGACGACACGTACCCCCCCCCTCCTCCCCCGCCCAGGTGACGAGCGCCGAGGATGCGTGCAAGGTCCTCATGAGGGGCTACGCCTCGAGGCACACTGCCTCCACGGCTATGAACTCCGCGTCTTCGAGATCCCACGCGGTGTTCACGCTGGTGATAGATACCGCGGTGCAGATGGTCTTGCCGGTCGCCGCCGAAGGGGGTTCGGCGGGATCGGAGGGGGCGCCGGGGACGGGGGGGGAGGGTGTCGGAGCGGGAGGTGAATATCTGTTGTTGTTGTTGTTGTTGTTGTTGTTGTTGTTGTCGGTCTCGGCGCTCTTGGTGCTGTTGCTTGCGACGATGTTGTTGTCGTTACTGGCCTTTGCTAATGTTCGCTGTTCGCCCCACCCATCCTCGGGCCGGTGGTCGCCTTTTTTCCCGCGCACGTTTGACGTACCAGCCGGGGGGGGACCCCACTCGGAGCCGAACCGTTTTCAATCGAAGGGAAAACTGCCACTCGCACGGAAATGACGAATGAATCAATCAACCAATGTCTCCGCGGCAGGCAACGTGAGGGTGCGATCGGCGAGGTTTAACCTTGTCGATTTGGCGGGAAGCGAGCGGCAGGGGCGGACTCACGTAAAGGGGAAGCAGCTCAAGGACGCCTCGAGCATCAACAAGTCGCTGTGAGTGCTCGTTATGCGGCTCTTGCTGCATTAGTATCACGATAGTTTCACAACGATATCCACCCCCCCCGATCCGCCTCTTCCCTCTAGAGCCTGGTCCGGTGAGAACCCCGCGTGCTCTGTCCCGGCTTTGTAGGGATGCCAGGTCAACGGTTAAATGACTACGGCATGCGCGACTAGAGTACCCCCCCCCCCCCCCCCCCCCCCCCCCCCCCCCCCCCCCCCCCCCCCCCCCCCCCCCCCCCCCCCCCCCCCCC